GATTCAGAGAGCTCTGCTCTCTGGAAATTTAGTTTGTGACCTGCCTGACCTGCATTATCTGTCCTGCAACAGCCATTCTATTTACCTGCTTGCTCTACTATCAGACAGAGCAACTGAGGATAAGGGTCAAGCTCAGAATGAGCTGGAGATAAGTTCTGAAGCCAGGCTTACCAATCCAAGTCGTAAGTCAGTAAGAGAATGTTAAAGGAAGCGGGCAGACAGGCACTTCAGGGCAGGTTCCCATGCCTGAGCTTTCCTTTAGCAGCTATAGTGAGGGGCCTACTATGCTGGACATGACCTGTGGCCTGAGGTGTTGGTGTATCAGAAAAGTAGAAAGGAGAAGAAAGCTCATGTAAAGAATCTACTTTCTTGGGCTAAGGGAAAGCGTCACAAAAAGCACCTTGCAGGACAAGTCTTGAGACAGAAGTTGAGAGAGGCAGCTTGCAGGTGGGTGAGGTGGACAAGAGCTTTGCAGGTAAAGGCAACAGTGCACACACCTATATAGGAGGGGCTACACTACACAGTGGAAGGAGCACAACTCCTGCCCTGCCACTTCCGGCGTGGGAAGGGGCACGCTCAGAGCTCAGCAGAGTGCCTGGCGCAGGGCAGCAAAACTCAGAAAGTTTAGCCTTAGGGCCAGGTGAGGTGGCCCATACCTTTAGTCCCAGCACTTGCAAGGCCAAGGCAGGCAGATCTCTGTGAGATCCAGGACAGCCAGGGCTACATAGTGAGACCCTGTCTCAAAAGGGGGAGAAAAAAAGTTAGCTTTAACTGACATTAATGTCTGTGTACAGGAGCTGGGGTTGTTTACTTTGTTTTTTGAGAAAGGGTCTCCATGTAGCCCCAGCTGGCCTAGAACTCACTATGTAGACCAGGCTGGCCTCAAACTCAAGAGTTCCTTCCGCCTCTGCCTCCCCAGTGCTGGGATTAAAGGTGTGCATCACCATACCTGGTTAGGGGTCATTTACTTTGAAAACTACGCCCTTATAATGTCATGCCCTCATTATAGAGGACTCCTAAACAAGACTGCAAGGTTCTTTGATTTTGTTTCGTTTCATTGAAATAGGATCTTAAAATGTAGCCCACGCTGGCCTCAAATTGAACATACCTGTAGTCCCAGCATGCCCCAGGGTTGGGAGTGCTGGGACTACAGGTGTGTTCAAGATGCCAAGATCGATGCTTGGTGCCCCACTCCCAACCTCATTTGGTATTAGGGATTAAACCAAGAGCCTTCTCACACATGCTAGGCAAGCGCTCTACAACTGAGCCACATACCTCAGTCCCTCTTTTGAGACAGGATCACTAAGTTACTCAGACCGGCCTCAAACTTGCTATGTAACTCAGGCAGGGCTTGACCTCAGGATCCTACTGCCTCAGTCTCCCAAGTAGCTGGATTTCAGGTACATGCCATTACATTAGATTCTGCCAAGGTCTTGAAAACACTGTAACCTGGATTGGGGACATTGTAGTCTATAAGCTCTGCCTGAAAAATGGCTCCAACAAAAACACCCTGACTTGGCCAGGGGCCAATTCAGTGGTAGAGGACTTGTCTGGCAGGAAAAAGACCCTGGTTTCAAAGATTTTTAAAAGTATACTGATTCACATCAAAGAAATGAAAATCCCAGCAATCTAAAAATCAAACCTAAAGCAGTGAACTATAGCCAAAATACTGTCAAGTTTCCGTTTTGCTTAAATCATGCAAACTTTGCATTCTACATTCTATAATTGATACAGGACAATGCTTAGAAGTACTGAGACTACAGCACCTAGAAGATTCCCAGACCTCTGTTAACTGTGGCTCTGAGTACTCAGAGCACGTGACCTCAGTGGGGTCTGAGGGAAATCACAGTGACAGCCTCAGCAGTGGCTTCTGCAAAATGAGCTACAACCTGCAGCAACTGTGCTGAGCACTATCACAGTGGACACTTGGTATTAACACCGAATCAGAATTCCATAGGTGCATTATCATCCCAAACCATTTTGTGAGGATCTGTCCAGTACTTGGCACTGGACTAGCTCCTCTACTTTTTGTAAGATAGCTAACTCTGCAAGATAGCTAACATTCCCATTTTAGTGGAAGAAACAAGTTCAGTGAGCCCAAGGTCACCCAACTGGTAAGCATGGGAGGATTGGAACCCAAGTCCCTGACTCTCAGCCTCAAATGCCTTCCACTTACATTGCTCCTCACCCCTTCTGGGGCATTGAGACGGTTTCCCTGTAGCCCTAGCTGGCCTGGAACTCACTATGTACAAGGTTGGCCTCTATCTCAAAGCATGCCCAGTGTTTTTTGTTTGTTTTGTTTTTGCAGACAGTCTGATGAAGCCCAGGCTGGCCTCTGACTTGCTATATAGCTGAGTATGACTTTGAACTCCAGATCCTCCTGCCTCCAACTCTCAAGTACTGGGATTACAAATCAGGTACCATTATACCCCATTTATACAGCATGGAGTTAGGTCTCATGCATGCTAGGCAAGCACTTTACCTATTGAGCTATATTCCCAGCCTAAGGTTCTTTCTGGGGCTGGATAGCTGACTCAGTGGTTATGAGAAGACCCAAGATTCGTTCCCAGCACCCACATGGTGGCTAACAACTGTCTAGGGGATCTGACATCCTCTTGTGACCTCCACGGTCATGCATAGCTTCACTTATATACACGCACTGAAAACACTCATATATGAAGCCGGGTGTGGTAGTGCACGCCTTTGATCCCAGCACTTGGGAGGCAGAGGCAGGAGAATATCTCTGAGTTCAAGGCTAGTCTACATGGTGAGTTCCAGGCCAGCTGCGGCTACAGGAGACCCTGTCTCAAAAAAATAAAACCAAAAACAAAAAAACACTCATATACATGAAAGTAATAAAAATACGTTTTTTTAAAAAAAGAAATTTCTTTCTGAGTCAGTGAGATGGCTCAGTGGTAAAGGCACTTGCCACCAAGCCTGGATAACCTGAGTCAGATCCCTGGGACCCAGGAACCAACAAACCAACATGGTAGAAGTAGAAAACTGACTTCCACATGTGCACCATGGCGCTCTCATGCGTGTGCGTGTGTGCGTGTGTGTGTGTGTGTGCACGTGTGCAAGTCACCATGCCTGGCAAAAGAACCTTCTTCTAAAAAAAATTTTATTTCTGGGCGTGGCAGCACATATCTTTAATCCCAGCACTCAGGAGGCAGAGGCAGGTAGAGAGCAAGACCAGCCTGGTCTACATGGAGAGTTCCAGGCCAGGTGGGGCTACAAGGAGACCTTGCCTCAAAAAAGCCAAACCAAAAAAGGAAGGTGACACATGCCTTTAATACTGGTACTTGAGAGGCAGAGGCAGGAGGATCTCTATGAGTGCCAGGCCAGCCTGAGATACAATGAGACCTTGTCTCAAACAAAGAAAAATGTATTTGTGACTCTGTTCTGTTTCCATAAAAATTCTAGCAAGGAGCTCCTGGTGGAAAGCCATTCTTCGCACCTGTAAGCAGCAGCAGCACCAAGGGAAATCAGGATGCTGTCACAGGCCAGCTCTGCACCTACCCTTCAATCTGCCAGTGGGACCCCTTCAGTTCACTCACTCTTACTTTCATTTTCTAGTCATCATGAGTTTCAAGGTCTCAAGAAATCAGTATCAACACAGTCTTGGACCCTGAAGAGTATAGGCTCAGGACTTTTAACAGTTATGGTCTCCATAGGAAAACAGAAGGGAGTTAAACAGGGCAGGAGGTTGAGAAAGAGATGGAAGCAAAGTAGGAATGCCAGTGATAAGGAAGGCCGAGTCTGTACTTGTGCCCCTTGCACATTTTGTATGCTCATTCATTTAACAGACCAGACTGAGAAGAGAGCCCGCTTTCAAAAAAAAATGAGGTTACCTTTGACCCCAAGTTCCAAACCCTGGGCCTCATCACTTCTAGCTGCATGGTCTTTGGCAAGCATCATCTCTAAGGTGGGAACACAAATATCACTATATCTAGGACACTTGTAAGGAATATACAATTTTATGTCTTGAGCTACTTCTTGTTACATCCCTCTATAGTGAAAAGGGAGAAAGGCCAACTAAGTGTGAGAGGCAGGCAGGAAGGAGAGGAGCCATCAGAGGGGAGGGACTTCCTCTAACCAGTGTCCTCCCTCCCCCTGCAGAGCAGTGATTGACTTCTGCCAGGCCTCCACAACTTCTGAAAGCCTGAAGGGGCTGCTAAACAACCTGGAACTCTAGTGCTTTCCTTGACTCTCTAAAAGGAGAGTTTCTCCTTCAAAAGCCTGTTTCAGACTCTGAGGTAGGAGAAGATGTCCAGACACATGAAAGAAGTGCCCAGGAGACGCTGGCTTGTCCCGTCCCAAGATTCCTGAAGGACCTTAGGATCACAGTCCAATCCTCAAGAGTTAATGTATCAGAGACCAATTCCTGTGAGCAGTCAGAGCTTGCTGGCCTACCCTTCAGAGGCACATGCTGAGAAGATCAGAGAAACTAGGCTGGCCAAGGGAGTCTCCGATGAGCCCACACAGAGAGTTTGTCATCTAGCTGTTGACCCTAACAAGAAAGGGGTTTGCTGTTGTCCAATAAAAAGTGAAGTAAATGCATCATAGAATTAGCTTAAAATATTCTACCAACTGGACACTAGTAATTATGCAGTACTCAGAGAGATCTCAAGGAAAAAACTTTAGCTTTTGCATGATAAGCAGCATCCTAGGGCAGTTAAGGTGGTCAGGACTGCCGGAGGAGCTGCAGGAATCCCCCAGGTTGCATGGCTTTCCAGCTCTTCCTCTACTGTGGACAGCAAGGGTCAGGTGACTTCTCATGAAGGTAGTCTTTAACTTGTACTTTGGCCACATAACAAAAGAACCTTCCAGCTTGGTCAGAGACAGCTGCCATTTCAGACACTTAAATCCCAAGGAACATAAAAGGCCCCTATGTTAACAAGGTTGGGGAACCTGCACTTTCTAGCACGCATAAGCAATTCCTTTACCTTCAAAAATTACCACATTAAGGCCCCAGAGCTGCCACTCTGAGCTGGACTTACTCCTCTGTGCTAAGTTCAAGCCAAGAAGGGGACTGGAGAGATGCTCTGGTGTGGCATGGACCTGTTGCTCAGGTGTAGTGTGTGACTGGGGGTAGAATAGAGATGGTCCCTCAATTCCAGATTCCCGTATTTGGTCTTATTCTCCTCCCTACAGATCAGAAGACAGCAGTCCCAGGAAGAGCTTGGAAACCACTCACATGCTCTGGAAAGACAGGGCTGAGCCTGGAGCAGCGGGGAGGAGGAAGGGAAAAAGATAATGAATGGGCAGATCCACCCTGATCTGTGATCTGTAGGTAGAATTGAGCAAAGCTCAGCTAAATTCTTCAGAGGCGGGCTGAGAGAGCACAGGACAGGACTTGGGGGACAGGGAGCAACAGAGGGGAGGACTGCTCATTCCTTCTAAGTGACCCAGAATTCAAACTCAGCTGAGGTCCTGGTAGGCTCTCTAGCTTGAGGAAGGAGAGGAAGTGAGTAACAGTGGGAGAGCAAACACTTTTGTTCGCGTGGAACGAGCTCATCCAGAATCCCCTGTCTCTCCGAGGAGCCTAAAGGAAATAGATAAAAATTCTCCCAGGGCTGCAGGGGACGACTGTTTTGGGGTGGCATTCTGGGGTGGGGGAACTGGGGGGGTGGGATACTGGAAAACGGCGACCGACAGCACACCCTGCCACCTCGAAAAGGGGAGACGACAGGTTCCTTCACATCTGGCAAAGACTCTCCAATCCTGGAAGCTGAGGGGGTGCGGTGAGGAACTTAGGGTCCCTCTCTCCCACAACTGGAGTGGACAGGCCAGACGGGAACCACAAAGGTCTCCCTAAGACTCACGCAGGGCAGGTAAGCGAAGGAAAGACGGACTCCCCCCCTTTGGCCCGATGCCCTGGGGAACCCCTAAGAGGGGGCTACGGGTCGGGGGAGGGGTCAGTGTCCCCCCCAAGCTGTTAGGTACGAGGAAAGGGTTCCCGGGGGAGGCTTCCACACAGGCGAGACGCTGGTCCTGGGGCAGACACACTCACCGCGGCTCCTGGGCGGCAGCGTTACTTGGGCCGGGGCTCGCACAGACTCCGCTCCTCTCCCCCCCCCCGGCGGTGTCCCAGGCTCCGGCCTCCACTTCCGCCTTTCAGCCGCTCCGGATCCGGATCTCAATCTCCGCCCCGCCCCTCCATAGTTCCAAGTGACTGACAGGGCTAACAGGCCAATAGGAGAGACCCTTAGCCTACCCACAAGCTCCGCTAGTGAGGGGAGTGGGAAAGGAGGGGGCAGAGCGCGCAAGGGATGGCGGGACTTGTAGTTCCCAGCTCTAGGAAGAGCCTGGCACTTGGGTTTAGGGTGGAGCCGGTTGCTGGCGGGGCGGAGCCAGTCGCAGTCTGCTAATCCCGTCACCGTCAGTTCCAGGATACCCGAGGGAAGGCGGGTGGCAGAGCGTTACTAGAGGGCAGAGAGCTGTGCATGCAGAATTGAGAAAGGAAAAATATGATGTGAATGAATATGCACATAAGGCTGCGTAGACCAGTCCTGTGCACTCGATCACTGGGAGAAGCCCCCGGTCCGCACTTTGAAAGCCCAAGCAGCTCTGGGAGGCCAATTGTTGAGGACAGTCTGTGACAGGAAAGGCAATGGAAGCTCTGCAGAAACGGTTCTCTGGGAGCTGGAGAGATAGCTCAGCGGTTAAAGGTGTTTGAGGCCAAGCCTGACAACCTGAGTTCGATCCCCAGGACTCATATAGTAGAAAGCGAGAACTGACGCCTGCATATTGTCTTCTGACTGATATGTGTGTACCATGTGTGCCACTCACACACAAACACCCTCCTCCCGAAATAAATACATAAATGTGATTTTAAAAAAGAATTTCTGCTGTCCTGCTATAACCCTTCCTTCCTAGGTTCAGCTCCCAAACACACCAGCGCCCCGCCCCCCCAAACCAGAGCTAGCATTTCTCCTTGGTGACAACCTCTCCCTGGGCACTCTCCACCCATCCCTGCAGACTAAAACCACTCCCCCACCCCATATGGGTCAGTACTATTTCTGTTTGTTCCAACTCCCTCAATGTGGATTTGGACCATTTCTGCACCATTTCTGCTTCTTTTCAACCCCCTACCCCCAACACTGGCCAGTACCTCTTCTGTGCATCTCTCTCCCCAGAGACACTACTCAAAAACCATATAGAATCAAAGCCCATCCCAGAAACAATGTGGTCATTGTACCTACAGTATGGGGCAACATCATTCATATCCTTGAAAACCTGAGCTAGAGAAAAGGACCTGTCTGGGACAACCTGCCACAGCGCTGTGCCCACTTTTAATCTCATCCCATCACCAGGGTGCCAGTTTCTTACATCTATACCCCCACTCCCCACACAGATCATCAGAGAAATGGAAACAGAGAGTGGAGAGGGCTTGGAAGTGTGACCTAGCAAGTTCTGGAGAGGTGACAAGCTCCTCTCTCTCTACCTACCTACCCACTATAACACCCTATACCTAGCCCAACACCAAATACTTAGCCCTAATATTTCCTTATTCAGAGAGTGGGCAGATCTGGGCCCATCTTTCTAAGGCTGGAGGTTGGCCTGACCTGTCTCTCCCACATGCTGTGTATTTATGGCTATAACTAGGTGGTGGAAAAGAAGAATTGTAACAGGCCCTTAGCGACTCGTTAAAGTTTCTCCTTTATCCCTGGGGACTCTAGTGGCGTGAATATGATGCCAAGTGGATTGGCTGGCGCCTTTGCCCTTCCTAGAGACAGCAACAGGGCCCTGGGGTATGGTGGGGAGTGTCTGCTGGTTTGACTCTTCCAAAGCCCTGGGGTTCTCAGACCAACCCCCAGAAACAGCCAGAGCCAACACCTACAAAAATATAAGAATTTATTTCCTATCCAAAAGTGAGCACAGGATGTTGGGTGGGAAACCTGGGCGGATTTTTGAGATGTCCAGGCCCTGAGTTGAGACCATGTTGGACGTAAGAACAGAGTTGGCTGAGGTCTGCAGGTGGGAGCAGTATAGGGATGATGTTGGGAATGTGTTGAGCTGCTGGCAGCAGAAAAGACCACCTTGAGTGACATCCTGCAGAGACAGAAACAGAGATGTTAATAAGTTCAAGTCTCTGAATAGAAACAGACATTATCGCCCCACCCCCGATACCCAAAGGACCCAGGGACTTGGAGCCCACTCCAAAGCAGAGGGTGCAGATTGAAATAATACAGAGATCAGGCTGGGTGTGGAGGCTCATGCCTTTAATCTCAGCACTCGGGAGGCAGAGGCAGGTGGAGTTCAAGGCCAGCCTGGTCTACATAGTGAGTTCCAGGACAGCTGGGGCTACAGGGAGACCCTGTCTCAAAAAGACAAAAAAAAAAAGAGAAAAAAAAGAAATAATAGAGACCATACAAAGAATTCCAATGAGAGACGCTAACTGGGCATCAGGAGGTGATTAAAAAACTCAAGATAGGAGGCTGTGAAGAAATGGGGTGGGGCACAAAACAAACCTCAACAAAAAAAAAAAGAGAAAAAAAAGAAATAATAGAGACCATACAAAGAATTCCAATGAGAGACGCTAACTGGGCATCAGGAGGTGATTAAAAAACTCAAGATAGGAGGCTGTGAAGAAATGGGGACTATTTCTTAATAACAGCTACTCAAGACCAGGTGATTACTATTTTTGCCAGATGTCTGTGGTTCCTGGTAGCCAGACATTTTTTTTAGGGCGGGGGGAGTTGGAATACTGAATATTTTGTGATTCTATCTTAAAGCTGATGTTGGCAATAAATTCATATTTTGAATATTTGAATATTTGGTTCTGAGAGCCAAAGAATACACATTTGGGACCAGCAATTTTTCTGTATGTGCTTAGGGGTGAGGTGAGCCCCTCCAGTTTGGACTGTTGGTAGGAGGCCCAAGATGTCCTGGGTTTCTCAAATGCCAACCAGAATCTCAAACTCTGAGGGTCCTTAAGAGGACCCAGAAGCTGGGACAGAAGAGCTCCACAGTATCACCAAGCTATGTCTAGAACAGAGTCCTGTAGTCTATCCCTCTTGCTGTAGATACCAAGAGCCTGCCTGGTCTTGCTCCAGCCTTGACTTCTCAGGCTCGATCTTTGTCCTTGCCCATCCTTCTGCTTCCCAGTCTCTACCTGCTTTCAAGTCCTGATGGGAAAGTCGGACCTTTCTTCTGCACACGGTCCATTTCATGCCTGCTGGATTCCAGGGCCTCAGGTGGCTCCCCTCACTGAGGAGGGGCATAGGGGATGGTTTGGAAAATGGAACAGGTTTAGAGGTGGCCACTCTTTGTTAAAAAGTCCAGAGAATCCAGAGTCAACCAGACCAGCTGGTGGCTGCTGACCCCAAGGCAAGAGGCCAAGGGGCCCAGTTCCTCCCTGGATGGCAGGCAGACATGCCCACTCCAGACAGGCCTGGGCCCCAGGGCCGGGGTCAGTGGAATGTGTCTGACCCAGACTGGAAGCTGTGCCTTATGAGGCTTGGGGTTGCAGGAGAAGCCCCAGACACTGGGGAGGGTCCCAGAGGGTCAGGCTCTGAGGGATAGTGTGCCAGCATGGAAGGCCTCAGGTCCAAGGGGGTGGCCCCTAACTCCACTGTCCCCACACTGGCTGGACAGTGAACCACAGCAAATGTGGTATCCTGAAGACCAGGTGGTGGTCCAGACACAGGAGAAGAGCTGCATGGTGGCTTCTGCTGGGAACAAGGAGGGTCTGAGGGCCAAGTTGAGTCTGATGAGTGGCCTGGGAAACCCAGCCTGGCCTGTAGGAGGCTCATCACTTGCCGCAGTTCCCGGCTCAGCTGAGACACTTCCTGGTTAAGATGGGATATCTGTTGAAAACATATCAAATACTCTCACAGATGCCATACATAACAGTAACTAGGCTCACTCTCCGCCCACTCCCTGCCCCCTCCTCCACACATACACTCCAGTTTACAAAATTCTTCAACCACTGTCTACTCACAACCACCTGGGAAGAAGGCAGGGCAGGGGCTATACCAAAAAGGATTTGCAGCTGTAGACATTACTGTCTAACTCCCTCCACTTTATTTTGTGTACATGCAGGTGTGTATGCATTTTGTGTGTGTGTGTGTGTGTGTGTGTGTGTGTGTGTGTATGTGTTTGTACCTGTGTGCAGGTGCCAGAGGTTGACATTGTGAGTTATTCCTCCATTACACTCCACCTTATTTTTTGATGTTTTGGTTGTGAGCCTGAGTCTTTACAAACAGACTCTCTACCTTATTTTTTGAGACAGGGTCTCTCACTGAACATGGAGCTCACTAATTGGCTAGACTGGCTTATCAGCCTATCTCTGCCCGAGCCCCTTCCCCAGCACTAGAGTTATAGACCTGCACTACTATACCTGGGTTTTATGTGGGTGCTGGAGATCAAGTCCTCATGCTTGTAGAACAGGCACTTTACCAGCTATCTCCACAATGCTATCATCCCTTTAGCCTTTTTTTTTTTTTTTTTTTTTTTTTTTTTTTTTTTTTTTTGAGACAGTGTCTCTCTGTAGCCCCAGCTGGCCTGGAACTTGCTACATATATCAGACTAGCCTTGAACTCCCAGAGATCTGCCTGCCTCTGCCTCCCAAGTGCTTGGATTAAAGTCGAGTGTTGGGATTAAAGTCGTGTGCCACCACCAGGACTCCCTTTAGGCCTTTTAAGACAGTCTCTTGTAGCTCCAGCTGCCCTCAAACTTGATTTGTAGCCAAGGAGGGTCTTGAACTCCTGATCCTTCTGCCTCTATCTTCCAAGTGCTGGGATTACAGGCATGAGCCACTACACTTGGCTTCCCCGCCTCCCTCCCTTTTATAAGATACAGAAAAATGTGCTCCAAGAGACAATCATGGTTCTATTGTCAGCCCATCATATGAGCTCAAGCGTCTTAGTGATTGTTTTTCAAACTTCAGAGTGTGTAGACTCCATTGAGAAACTTGTCAAAATACAGATTTCTTGGCCCCACCCCAGACATTCCAAAAGGGTGAGGCCCAGGAATCTGCATTTTTTAACAGGTGGTTCTGCTACAAACTCTGGTATGGGAACCACTGGCCTGGAAATGAGGGAAGCCTGAGGCAGTGAGCAGTTCTCCCTTTTAACCTTGAGTAACAGGGGCTGGCTCAGGCCCCATCCTGCCCTGGGTACCACCCCTCTGGGCTGCCTGCTGTTAGATGACTCCCTGAGGCTTGCTATGTAGTAACAGAGCTGAGAGCCCTTGGGGGAAGAAAGAATACCTAAGCATGTAGAATCTGGGCTCTCCCTGACCAGGATTCAGCCATCTGGGCACAGGTCCCCCCTAGGCCTAAAAGCCTTTCAGCTTCCTGCTTGAGGATTGGACTTGGTGGGATAGTCAAAAGCAGGAAACAATCTTCTAGGGGAAGGGGGGTGGGGTGGGGGTGGAGAAGAGTTCTCTTCCCAGGCTGTTAATGGAGAACCAGTTTAGGGGGAAGGGGGGCAAGGGGTGAGTGGGATAGGGTTTGGGGGAGGGCTGTTAGTGAGTACTTGAGATCTCAGAGAACCAGGGACTGGATCAGGCATATATAGATTCTTGGCCCATCCCCACAGTTCTGAGAAGGCATACTATTTTTTCTTGCTTTTAGGTGAGGAAATGGAAGTTCAGCAGGTTGTGGAACATGCCCAAGGTCATCTAGCTAGTGTGACTACTGAAACACAGGACTCTGCCTGTAGAACCTGACATGCTCTTCCTATCAGATCAGGCATGTCTCAGACCAAGACAATATTCTCCAGGGCTGGAGGGGAGCCAACCCCAACTCACCTCCTGGTTCAGCTTGCAGACTTTTTCCTTTACCTCCTCTGCTGCCTCTGTGGCCAGTTCCTGACTGGGCCTAGGGCCTGCAGGCAGAACGGAGTGAAGGGATGCAGGTGAGTTTATGGTGCATGAGTACCTGGGTCTGCAGCTCAGGCTGACCCCTCCTCTGTTGCCGGACAGGCAGGGAACAAGCAAGAGAAATCTCAGGGGTCAGAGAGATGGAAAATCTAGCCCTGAAGGCTGGCTTCGCTGCCCTGTAACTCCCCTAGCCTCTGCTCTTCCTCCATGTCCACACCCATCCCCAGCTCTAGGCACAGAGCTTCTCTGGTATTTGAACACCAATCTCTGCTTTTATAGTGCTTGGCAGCTGTTCTGCTTTATTGGTCAAAGTCCTACTCTCCCCCTTTTAACTACATTTTATTTTATTTACCTATTTAATTATTCATTCATTTATTCATTCATTTTATGGATGTGTGTGTATGTGTGCATGTGCGTGCACCACAGTGCATGTGTATGGAGGTCAGAGGACAACTTTTGAAAGTCAGTCTCCCCTTGCACCATGTGGGTCCTGGGGATAGAACTCAGGTTGTCAAGCTTGGCAACAGCTCCTTTACCCACTGAGCCATCTCACTGGCCCACTGTTCTCCCTTTCAGAAGTAACTCAAGTACCCCCTCCTCTCCCTCCACAGTTTTGTTGTCTCTGTTGTACTTAGAACATGGTTCTAGAATTGTTTATCAGTGTACATAGGTGCTCTCCACACTAGGAAGGGAACTCTCCAACAGTGTTGGCCAGGTCTATTTTAACTGTCTGTTTCCAGCATGGTACCTAGAACACAGGGCCATGGATGGATGGGTAGATGGATGGATGAATGGGTGGGTGGGTAGATGAATGAATAGGTGGGTAGATGGGTAGAAACATGAATAGATTGATGAATAGGGGCAGATGGATGGATGGGTGGATGGATATTTGGGTGGATTGGTAGAGAACAGATAGCTGGGTGAATGAATGGGTAGGTGGGTGGATGGATGAGTGGTGAGTGGACAGATGGATTTGTGGGGTGGATGGTGGGTGAATGGGTAGATACACGATACGTGGGTGGATAGATGGATTGATGGGGCAGATGGATGAATGGATAGGTGAACAAAAGATGAATGGACGGGCTGATGGGTAGATGAATGGATAGGTAGATGGATGGATGAATAAATGGATAGGTGGACAAATATGAATGGATGGGCTGATAGGTAGATGAGTGAATGGGTGGATGGATGGATGGATGAATGAACGGAGAGACAGGTGAATGGGTAGGTGGATGGATGGATAGAGGGGTAGATGGGAGATATATGGATGGATGAGTGACTATGAATTGGAGTCACCACTGGCCCTTACCTGCAGGGGGAGCCTGTGAGCGAGGTCTGGGGGGCTCTGGCCTCCTGCTAAATCTGAATGTAGGGGCCTCAGCTGTGCTGCTGGAGTCTTCAATACCATCTACAATCCTGGGGGTAGGGCAGTGCTCATCAGCACCATGGGGATGGTGCAGGGCCAGAACAGAGCAGGCAGAGGATGAAGGTGGGCAGCAGAGGCAAGGAACTGGGGAAGAGCAGTGGTAAAAGCGGAATAGGATTGCAAGCTGTGGTTGGAAAGGTAGGGTTGGCAAATGGGGCAGCCGAAGGAAAGAGCACTGGTTGGAACACTGGGGATGGTATCCAAAGAAGGTTCTGGAAGCCAGCAGGGATATGGGAAAGGCAGGGAAGGCTGGCATCTCACCGGGGACTGAGGTCCGGAGGTCCAAAGGTTCCCAGTGGGGGAATGAGGAGCTGGGGGGGCTTCCAGGCAGCAGAGCACCTGGGGGGGGCGTGCGGGGAGGGACTCAGGCCCCTGCCAGCCAGGGCAGGGGAAGGAGATGGAGACAGGGAAGGAGAGGAGACAAGGGCTGAGAATGGGGGCAGCTCCTCGCCCAAAAGGCTGACCAGGGAGCCCCGAGGCCTTGCTGGACTGAGGTTAGGCAGCAGGAGGGGCCGGCGGGGCCTGGGACCAGCCCCAGGCTCTGTGCCACCCTCGACCTCTGTGATGGATGGCAGAGTCTTGTCTGAGGAGGAGCCAAGACTGTCAGAGCGTGGCTGTGCAAAGAGGGAACAGCTGATGTTGTAGGACAGTGGGCCCTTCACTGGGACATAGCCTTCAATACCACATGCTGTTTCATATTCCCTGTAGCAGAGGGGCCAAGGAAAGGTGCTCCCCTCCCAAAGCAACCTCACCCCACCCCAGAAGAGGTATTACCTGGGAGAGGTGTGGAGAGCGGGAAAAACGGCTGAAGCCCTGTGGAGACAAAGCAGGATTCAAGCTGACTCTCAGCACCCCCCAATTCTCCTAGTGCTGCCCCTCCTTGCCCCACTTAGAAGCTTAAGGTGCTGAGGACATGTGACCTTTTCACACATGAGCCAGATGCCACCAGCTCCAACTCAGAAGAATCCAAAAAGAAAAAGTGAGCCCCCAAAGTAGCAAAAGACAAAGGCCTAAGGTGGAGACTGCCCAGCCTTCAAACAAAGTGGGAAACACTGGGGCAGCAGTGGAAAGAGGAAGCTTCAGGGAGGCTGTCAGTCCAGAAAGGGATTTTAAAGGAGGGGGTTGTTTCCAAGCTAGGAGGAGGCTAAGGTATTCAGCAACAGTGGATGGTGAGAGACAGTGCAGGGGCAGAGTGAGGCCCATGGGCAGTGGAGTTGGAAGATATCAAGCACACACAAAGCAACAGAGGAGTGGTTGGAATTAGAGCTGGTGTCTTCAGGGCAAAGGGAGATGCAAACAACTCTCTAGGGTTGGGAGTGTTCTGCTTTGAAGGAAGGTACCTTATTGGGGATGGATAATAGCCATGCAGTGTCTACATACATTGTTTTCAGAGCCCTGGCGCAGGTTGAAGGTGAGGTCCCGGGGCAGGCCAGCCTGGAAGGCAGCCCCATACTCCGGATAGAGCCGCAGAACCTCAGCCAGCCCTTGGCTGCTCAGCTGCTGCAGGCCACAGTATGTCAGGGCTTTCACATCAGCGCTGGTCTTCAGCACGCAGCTGGGGCCTGCCCCTGACCTAGGCTCCTGCCCCACTTCAGGGATGTCTGCCCCAATCAAGTCCCCCTTCCCTATGTAAAGGAAGGGGACAATCAGCTGGGATGAAGGGAACAATGGATGTGAGTGGGAGGTAGTCAATGGATGTGAGAGATGGTTAGCATGCTTATGAATGGTTGAAGATGAGTTCATCAAGGGCATTGGTAGAGACAACCAATGGAACTTGGAAAAGACCAATGGAGAATGACTGATGAAGCTGGCAGACATTTGATGCAGGATGTCAGCAGCACTGGAAATGACTGATGGAATTGGATGCTCAATAAAGAACAGCCAGAGGGGTCAGTTAAAGAGCAAAGGTCAATTGCTAGATCCTGTCTCAAGAAAGCAAAACAAAAACCAAACAAATCCGAGGCCAGGCATGGTGGCACACACCTTTAATCCTAGCACTTGGGAGGCAGAGGCAGGTGGATCTCTGTGAGTTCTAGACCAGCCTGGTCTACATAATGAATTCCATCCAGCTGGGGCTACAGGGAGACCCTGTCTCAAAAACACCAAAATTTAAAAAAAATAAAAAAAGAGTAAAGGTCAATGTATTTTAGGATCATTGGGGAAGTGTCAATGAACTTGATACAATAGATCAAGTTCAAATGATACAAATGATACTATGGAAAAGGATCAATTAACTTAAACAAAGACACTGGTTAAGGGCTGATGGATTAAGGGGTGGCCAAGAAGTTAGGGGAGAGTTTGGGGGAATGGCCAAAGGGGGACAGTTGTGGGTGAAGGAACCAAGAAAGAGTACACCTCAGCTGGTACCCTAGGTACTCATTAGGGATATTCCCAAGGTCTCTGGGGAAGGTCTGGGGATATGGCAGTGTGTGATGGCAGGGTTCTCACCCAGGATAGCCAGCACCATGTTGTCTCGAAGCACTTCAAGCGAGCCAGAGCACACATAGTAGTGTGCCTGCAGGGCATCCCCACGGCGCAACAGGTACTCCCCTGGAGCACAAAATGAGGTCTTGATGTGTAGAGAGAGAGCCCGAAGACAGCCCCTGCTTGCCACTCCAAACAACGGCAGCTGCAGGATCTCCCGATTCAGGTGCATAGCAATGTCAGCTCTCAGTTCGTCTGGGAAGTCACGCAGTAACTGCATAAGGGGCATAAGTCATTCTGGCCATCCCCCTGCAATCACTAATGGAGTCAACAAATATGTTGGGCTGTCCCCAACATAAGAGTACCAACTTTAAAATCACCCATTCCAGACCTTAAGGAAGACTTCTATGTCTAACGTTAATTCTGTTTGTCATGCTGATCTCCAAAGCTAACTTATAGGCAGAAACCAAGTCTTCTTTCTGGCTCCTGTACCTGGGTGCACACACTGGGCACTCACAGATGTTCTGGCTGCTCAACTCCGTATGGCCAAGACAATCCTTGGTGGGTCAGACTTCAATTGAGAGTTAGGAAACTAGGAATCTGCTCTTAAGTTCCTGAGGACTTAGGCCATCTGTTTCCTCTCTCTGCACTTCAGTAGACCTCGGATGAAGTCCTTGAGGTCCTTCATGCGGGGGGAGTACATCTGTATAAAGCAGGCTCATGTACATCTTGAATGTTACTGATGTCTTCCTAGGAAACTTTATTTCCACATTTCTGTCATATCATGGAGGCCCTTGGCCACTCTCACGTGTTGACCTCTCCCTGTTATTCAGCCTGGGCCCCTGAGAAGGCCTCCCTCCCGATTCTCCTCCCTCCTTTCTGGTATTTCTTCATTTCCTCCCAGACTTCTTGCATAGCCCATCCCCTTGACTCACTTCCCACTTTCCACACTTTCCCTGTATCATGGCAACTAGGCCCTGACTTCTCCATTACTCATGCCCCAAGGCCCTGATGCTGTCCATACATGTATTTGCAACTACCTGGTGAGTGACCTCCATCTGGGTCTCCCATAGGCACCCTACACTCCTAATGGCCCAGCCCCACACTCTCACCTTCATTCATAAGCCCAGTCTTCCTCCTAAGTTGCCTTTACCACCCCTTGACTCCAACTCAGACACTTATGCATCAGACACAGGAATCACTGTGCACTGATCTCCTGCAGCCAGCAGGAGATTGCCTGGTCCTGTGGCTCCTTCCCCAGCAAATACCCCACTTCCTCCTCTTCCCTATGCCACAACCCAGCCTAGAGATCTGGCAGGTTAAAAATGCAAATTTAGGACTATCCACTCTCTGGGCCTGCAGCCACCCCAGCCCCAACTCTGGCACTTCCCCTTGCCAGCCTTCACCCTTTCCTTCAAGGCTCACTCAACCACTTTCAGTTCCTTGAACTCACTCACTCCGTTCTTTTACCACACTTCCGGACTTAAGCTCCTATTGCTCTTTTTGCTGTAATGGCCTTCCTGAGGCAGGCTGATGTCCCCTTTCTCTGCCACCTTCCTTGACTCCTCTGGCCCAAACAATGCAGGCCCTACTGCATATCCCTCCTGTATGATCCTGTCCCTTACATGCTTCTCTGCCTACCTGCCCACCTCTCTCACCATTCTGGGGTGTCTCCCTGAGAGCAGGGGATGAGTGTCATCATCTCTAAGCTGTCCCCACCCTCCACCATGCTCAGGACATGGGGAATGAATAGAGAATGGCATTCGTTCAGAGCTAATGCTCCCAGGTGGCTTGGCACACACCAAGGAACGGGGAAGACAGTAAAACCTAGCATGAGAGAGAAACTGAGGCCCAGAGAAGACAAGGTGTCCACCTGACTCCTGACTCACACATTCCGCTTTCTTTCAACTTCTATGTTCAAGCCCAAAAGAAAAGGGTTTAGATCTGGCTGGGTGCATGTCCTTGCTAAGAGCCTGGGGCCTCCCTAGGGCTGCCTCTGTTCCAGTCCTGGAGAGGTGGTCAGTCCTTCTCCATTGCACTGCCCTTCAGTGACAGCTCCTAGTAAGCATTACCTCGTTAGCATCTATGCCACTGTTGACTGCCCATGTGGTCTGGAAGTACTCGAGCATGCGCTGCTTGAGTGGGCGGGGCAGGCGATGAACTCGGATGAAGTCCTTGAGGTCCTTCATGCGGCTGTGGTAGAGTGAGCGGCGGGAGTACATGCGCTGGATGATGGCAGTCACATTCCCGAATACCACAGCGTGCATCAGCGCTACAGAGGTGGCATCCATGGGGCATCAGCAGTGACCACCTCTCCACCACCTCCCTGTGTTCCCATAGTCACCCTGCTTGGGATGGGCCTCAGAGGTTTGGGGGAGGCACAGGAGAGATAGCCCGTTTCTGTGTGCCCACTTGGTGTTGGGAAGCAGGGGAAATAGGCAATTCACAGAGGGTGCAAACCCATGCTCCTCTCTGAACCATCCCCTCATTAAGCCATGAACCGGGTTTCCCATCCCCTTGAAAAAGATCACCCTATATATGAGCACAGTGGTGGACAAAGAATGAACACCTTGCCCTCCCTGGTCCTCAGTTTCCCTGTGCCCGCGATGGGCTTCACAGGGCCCCTTGGGCACAGAGGGTCTGGCCTCACCACCGATGAGCATCGTGCAGATGGAGAAGATCTTCTCAGCATCAGTGTTGGCACACACGTTGCCAAAGCCCACACTGGTGAGGCTGCTTAGTGTGAAGTAGAGCGCAGCGATGTAGGCGCTGCGACGAGATGGGCCGCCAGCGGAGCCATTAACATAGGGTACCTCCAGTCTCTTGCCCAGTTCGTGCAACCAACCTGTGGTATGGAGGAAAGGAAGGAGTTGCAGCCACACAAGCGCAGGAGAACCATGTTGCCCCGCACTGTTTGTGCTTGACCTTGGATAAGTTATTTACACAGGATGGGGAGGGTAAGGGGGGATGCGGTGCGGTGCGGGGGCGGGGACCGGACAGGAAAGGAAATGTTCTGAGCAGCCTGTCCCTGAACCTGGACAGGATGAACTGGCTACGGTTGCAGTCCAAGGCTACCGGCTCCCTAGACTGCTGACTATGCAGGGGCCCCTTCAATTCCCTAATTTTTGTGTGCTTCGGGGTGGACTGAGATGACCCAACCAGTACCCTCTCTACCATGGGGAAACTGACAGTGTCAAAGGGAAAATAAATCATTACAGATGGGAAGCAAGGTACTAAAGCAGAGGGTGTGTTAGGAATAGGAGCAGGTCAGAGGAAACCAGCCCAGTGGTACTTAAGGGGGTTCCTGGGGACCTGGATCCTGGGGACATGGTTCTTTTAGGACATTTAGGCATTTTTGTTGAGGCTCAAAGAACAGAAAAATCACCTAGAAGAGTAGAGCAAACAGAGGGAGGTGCCAAGGGAGGAAAACATGTTTAAGGTGGAGAGTGAGAAAGTAGGCTCCTAGGTCCAGGAACACAACCAGAGCAGTTGTAGCACAGATAGCCCAGGAAGAAGAGGAATGATGGAGACAGAGGGTGCAGGCCTGCCTGGGACACACGGATACCAACCATGGGCTTCAGTTTGAAGGCAGCTGGGAGCCAGTGAAATAGCCCAGGCAAAAGGGTGGCAGATCAGTGCTGATTCTTAGGAGGTTAATTTGGTTGCAACAGGAGGGTGGGTGGAGTGAGAATGAGAAGGAGATCAGTGGAATCCAGTGTAGGAGTCAGGGTGAGAGGGAAGTGGGATCGATAGGAAAAGGCAAAGGAGATGAAGAGGAAGCACCTGATCCAAATGGTGGGTCAGGTGTGGGCTGAAGGAGAGGCAGGTACAGTGCCCAGGACCTCATCTGTCTTCCAAGGGGACATCGAAGGCCTGGGGCTGCCTCCTAGCCAGTGGCCCCATTAATAGTGGATAAGGAGGAATTTATAAGGACATAGAGAGGATAGACTGAGTTCTTTCTGAGCTTTAAACTTGCTGCTTCCTCAATCCACAGCATCCACATCCATCAATGTGTTTCCATAGAGCTTTGAGCTCCTTTCACTGGTCTTGCACTCCTGGAAGGCTGGCAGGTTCCCTCTAGGCAGGGCCCTTGTCTTTAAACCAGTGTTTCCACACTTGATTCAGAAGCTCCAGGCATGTTTGTTGGATGACTAGAAGATTGTGGCATGGGGAATTGTGTGTCCTGGTAGAGAGGCATCAGTTTGGGGGTGGGATAGGTGGAGAAGTGGTAAGTCAAAGTCTGGGGCTGGTGGCTCACCAATGTCCCAGAGCAGCGGGTCATTGGCCTCCATCTCCCGGCGCCCGATGACATACCAGATGCAGGCCATCCAGTGGGCAAGAAGCGCAAAGATGGACATGAGCAGTGTGAGCACCACTGCGCTGCACTGCGAGTACCGCTCTAGCTTCTGCAGCAGCCGCAGCAAGCGCAGCAGCCGCACTGTCTTCAGCAGGTGCACCAGAGAGGTCTGCAGGAGGGCAGTGGGGGAGGCTGTTAGCAGGCACACCTCCTCAGAGCCCTCACATAGCCCCGTCCCCTCCCAGGTCCTTCCCCTCCAGACACCCCCTGGAGCCAGGAGAAACTGCAAGCAATCACTGCTGTCCTGAGAGAGAAATGCATCAGGAGAGAGCAATAAAGCTAACCTAGCCACCGAGGACTTCCTTAGTGCTATGCCAGCCACTGTCTCAAGCATTTAAAATCCTCATTAAAACCAAATCAAACTGGGGGCTGGAGAGATGGCTCAGCGGTTAAGAGCACTGACTGCTCTTGCAGAGGACCGGAGTTCAATTCCCAGCACCCACACGGCAACTAACAACTGTCCTAACTCCAGTTCCAGGGGATCCAACTCCCTCTTCTGACCTCCGAGGACATCACAGATGCACTTATTGTACATGCAAGCAATACACTCATACACATAAAGTTAAAAAAATAATAATAAACAAAAAAAAACCCAAACCAAACAAAAACCCCTCATGTCTTTTTTGGTTCAATTATCACTATGGTTCCCAATTTGTTCACAGAAGCTTGTGACTTGCTTAAGGTCACAGGCCAAGGAAATAATGGAGCTGTGACTAAAGTCCAAGGTGACTGGTATCAAAGTCCATTTGGGTCTAAGTGGCCTCTTAGCACCATGGGATGATGCAGAAGCAAACCCTGGTCAGAGCAGAGGGATAGACAGAATGGTCTCTTGAAGACCCCTGCTCAGGGCTCTTCTGTCCTAGGAACATCCAAACATTGTTGACAGTTGACATGGAGAAATGAAATGGAGCAGGGACAGTCAAGGAGCCTGAAGCCTACAGAAGGTTAGGGACAATTCCCCTTGTAATCAGCTGCAGATGAGAAGGACAATTAGGAAGGCACCTGGACTGAGCTAGAGATTGAAGGAGCCAATGGGTCTAGCCAGGACCCTCAACAGTTACTAAATATTACTGCTATGGGAAAATGGATGCAGAGATCAAATCCAGGACCTCATGCACACTAGACAAGTTTTCTGCCACTCCACTTAGTCATCTCCGAATCTGCTGTTTTCATCATAATTATTGATATTTCAATTAGGCCTTCTAATCTGGGACACAAGGAGTAGGTGGAGGGCTTATTTCTACATGGGGGCAGCTTGGCAGGTAGGGCTGCAGGCTCTGGGGATTTTCCCTTTCAGGGGCCTTCAGGAGCATGCCCTACACTGCTCCAGAACCACGTCATATATTGCTAATATTAAATGAAGGAGCTGAAAAAGGAGGCAGCCCTTGTTCCCCCACGGGGACCCTCTCCAAGACTAAACACATCTGCCTCCGACACCAGAACACCTGGCTCCAAACTGGAGTCCTTAAAGGCTCCCCTAAGTCACTTGCTTCTGTGCCCCCCCCAACTTGAGGACCCTCTTCTCATTGTCCTTTGACCAGAATGCCACTGGCATGGTTCCTCCAAGTCTACAACTCTATCAGTCCCTACTCTTCTGTTTCTGTTCTAGCTCTCTCAGGTCTCCATTGTTGCTCCTCATCTTCCCTAAGCCATTCACTTGGAAACCCTGGTTACCTGAGAACCAAGTGGTGTGTGAGCAAGAATGCTAGACTAAGAATCTGGAGACCTGGTTCTAATTGAGCCTCTATGTCAACCTCTACAAAAGGATATAAGAGCCTTCCCTGAAGGGTTGATTCCACATGATGATGTGTGTGAAAGTACAGGGCTGAACTGTAAAGTACTCTGAAAGGTACCAGAGGAAAGGGGACTGCCTGAGAGAGGCTGGTAGCTGTCTGCAGCATAACTCTCTCCCGTAAGCACAGATGTCTGCCAGACTGACACTTCATGGTGGGCACAGAAATACGACCACAGGCCTGCTCTGAGTGGCCAGAGCCTCAAGGCAGACTTACACACACACACATACACGCACACACACACACCACACACGCACACACGTGTTGGAGCATGCACACACGTGTGCACAGCCAGGAGAAGGGGCCCACAGCCCGTTGGCGGCTAGTTAAATCCGGCTATGTGTAGGTGGTTTCCTGCTATAACTAAGTGCAGCAGGGAGAGCACATAGGGAAATTGCTCTCCACCTCTCCCCACATACCCAATGGCAAGGGGCCCTGGGGACACAGGGCAGGACTGCCTCACCCTGGACTAGAGATGGCCTAGTATCTGGCTTCATACTGACCACACGAGTGAAGACACAAGTTAGAGTATGCTCTACTTTCAAATCCACCACTCAGCCTCTGCCTCCCTGGCTTGATTTACTGTGGTCTCTGTAACTGCTCTAGCCCTTCATCTCTTGCTAGCCAAATCCTGCTCACGGTGAGATCTAGTTCTGTTCCTACCTCCCTCAGGAACACTTCCTTCCCAGTCTACCTCAGCCTCTGCCCAACTGGGATGCTTCTGCCTCCAGATACTGGCCTGATTTCAGGATGTTTTTGCACATGCTCATGTTCCAGCCCAGATCTTCAGGGCCAATCTAGACTCCATGCAGCAGTACCAGGCCTCCCTCTCCCATTCCCATTTGGCAAGTCTATGTCTGATGTCCTCCCCACAATAGTTCTGCTCCTATTATTATCAGGCTGAGGGGGCTTTGAGGGTCAGTTCTTTGTCTTTTCCCCCACAGTGACCAGACCCACATAGTGCTTTGCAGACAGCTAAATGCTCATCAGTTGTTTGTTAAATAAAATGTGACAAGTACCACTCATCTGGCATCAAACCAACGCTGCCTTGGTAGCCATAGTTAGCTTTACATTTGTCTTAGCTTCCCTCAAAGATTGTGGGCTGAGCTCTCTAAGAGTACAGCCCCTCTGGGTTCCTTCCCAGTGCTTGGCTCAAGGCTGTGTCCATAGCAGGGCTCAGAGAGATAGCTATCTATGTATGAATTGATGGGAACTGGGTTTGGGATTTCTCCTCTAATGGGAGATGCTGTGCTGGAGTTCAGACGCTAGGATGCATGGTGGGATAGGAAGTTACTCACCACAGTGATGTTGAATACATACAGCAGGTCAAAGGGCAAAGCAGCAATAAGATCCACGAAGAACCAGGTGGCCAGATAGTGGAGGCCAATGGAACGAGGAGCAGAGATTACCTGGCCCGACTGGGACACATAGGTTGTGCGGAAGTTCAGGATGATATCTGAGGAATATAAGAGGCTGTTACTAGGGACCATAGCCTCTCAGGCCAGAGAGACAATGAATGAGCAAGCTGGGGGTGAGCATGGAAGACCCTGAATGGAGAAGGAGGTGGGAATGGAGAATGCTGGGTTGTTTTATAGGGAGGAGAGGCCACAAAGCTGAAGGCTACATGTGGCAGGGGATGACGGGACTTAAAGACCCACAAAGGGATGGGTCTGGGTCCTGCGGGTCCAGGATGGAGGGAGGCTTGCCTGAGTAGGTCCCTGTAACCCACCCTCCAGGGTAGGTGAGGCAGAGGGTCTGACCCAAAATGAAGAGCATTTCCACAGCGATGTCGCTGACAAGGGTGTGTCGGGAACTGATGGGGGTATCATCATCACCCGAGAAGCAGACGTTGTAGGGGACGGTGACTGCAACGTAGAACGTGGCGAGGAGGATGAGGCCATCCCAGACAGCCTTGGGGACGCTGTAGTGGAGGAGGAGGCAGCGGGACCCCCCCACGGAGGCCACCTTGTACTCAGGCACTGATGGCTTTGGCTCAAACACGTTCTAAAGGGAGAGGGGTGGTGGTTGGGGATACTTGGGGGAAAGAAAAGTTGAGACTGGGGGAAGGGAGAGGTGGGGGATATGGAAGAGGGGGAAAGGGGCATTGCAAGGGTATCCAGAAAGGGGATGGAAGTATGGGGGGGGGCGATTCTCAGGTTGGGGCCTGACACTTCTTCCCTATGCCAAGATATTGCCCAGGCTCTGAGCTTCTAATGATCCTTCTTTCCTTTCTTCCTTCCTCATTCCCTCTTCCTTCCTTCCTTCCTTCCTTCCTTCCTTTTCTCCTCCTCCTCCTCCTCCCCTTCCTCCTCTCTCTCTCTCTCTCTCTCTCTCTCTCTCTCTCTCTCTCGTTTCTGGGGACCAAACCCAGGGCTCTGCACTTGGTAGGCAAGCACTCTGCCACTCAGCTAAATTATGCTTGATCGGTAGCATTTACATGGATGACTCTCACCCACTCAAAGAGATGATGGCAGTCAGGCATATGTCCTAGCCCAAAGGGTCATAACTTCTTTCAGCAGTTCCTTCTGAGTTCTAGGGACATAGTGAGGGGCTAATGCACCCCAGAGCGGAGGAGGCTAGCATTGCTCCCCAGGTCCTGCAGCCCTAACACAAGAGAGTGGGAGACTCCATTCCTTGGCTTTGCCAGGATCCTAAGAGGTAACACATAGGGTAGGATGCTAGGTTCACAACAGGAGCTTAGGACCACAGCAATGTAGACCAGGCTGGCCTTGAACTCACAGAGATCAGCCCACCTCTGCCTCCCAAGTACTGGGATTAAAGGCATGTGCCACCACGCCCGGCATGGACTACATGCAATTTGTAGTTTTATTTCTTGTGATATAAACAAACACTCAGGGGGAGGTGATATGATTGCTGCTAGAGCCCCACCCTCATGGTATCACCAGAGTAATGTCAGTTGCCTACAGAAGAAAGGGAGATAGGGATGGAGGAGGGATGGGGAGGTATGGAGTGGAGCAGAGGGCAATATATGGGTGGACAGAGGAACAAGTCAACAGAGGGAGTCGAACAGACAGGGAAACAGGGAGAAGGTAGCAGGGAAATTAGGCCTGGAGGACTTGGAGATGTCGGACAGGAGAGAAACTCACATTATTGGTCTTCATGCTTCCTTGGCCCCGGCGACCAAAGTGGCCAGTCAATCGGTGTAGGACAGTCCGGCTCTGCCTCCGGGTGGACCGAAGTTTTGAGCTAGTTCCCCTCCTCCCAAGGGAGTTTTCTATTGGGAAAAAAAATGGAGGTAGAAATCAGTTGGGGTGCATCCTATGAGGCTGGGTGGGGAGCAGTCTTTGTGAACCAGATTCATAGTTACCATGATTACTGTCCCCACGGACTCCTGAGCCAAGTCCTGGGCCTCCACTCTGAGTGATGTCCTTGAAGGAAAAGAGGAACAGCACAACCTCTCCCATCTCATTCTTGATGGGCATCATGTCCAGGAGACACCAAAAGGCTGAGCCTGTGGGTGTGGAGAAAGGGGTGTAAGCAGCCTTGCACATGCCTTTCCTCTGCTCTCCTTGGTTGTTAGACATAATTAAAGGCTTTAATAAAAGTTTAGAATTGGAAGGAATCTCAGAGATTAGTCAGCTGCTTCCTTCATTTCCTTCAGAAAGGGTTAGGGATGAACTCTCTCCTGTAAGCAGCTTGTGGCAGTACGAGGATAAACCCCCAAGTTGCTACTGTGCCCAGCAAACTCTAGATGAGGCCTGGGGTTTGGGAAGATGGCAAGTCAGGCCAGGCTCCTCACCATCCTTCCGATAGAAGCAAATTTCAGCACGGTGTTCCTGGTGACCCTCCAGGGCTTTCTGCAGCCGTTGCAGGGCTGGCTCATTGGTCTCTGGGCCATAGAGGAACCGGCAGCTGCAGGTTTTCTGCATGACCTCTGTGCGGCCGTAGCCTGTGAGCTCACAGAAGCCGTCAGAGCAGTAGACAATGGGAAAACCCCGTGGGCCCTGTGCGTTGGCCAGAAGGAAGTTGCTGTCTACAGGAGGGAGAGGTCAAGGTCAGATCCAGGCCAGGAGGGGAGCTAACTTCCAGATGAACAAGAGTTTCCCCAAGTCTTGGCCAGAGGTCAGAGAGCTAGAAGTTTCCCAGGTGGTTCTTGATTCCTGGTTTGGGATATTCTGAAATGAACACAAGAAGCAGAGCAAAGGGGCAAGAATCCAAGAGTGGCCTAGAGCTGAGAAAGGTCCTCAGGTCACATGGTCCATGCTCCTGTCTTTGGACTGGAAAGTAGTGACTGCAGAAGGCAGTATAGCATGGTAAGGGCATGGGCTCCAACACTCACTGTGCCACTGTGACCCTGGGATGGTTAACTATGGCTCCTGTGCCTCAGCTTCCTTATCTACCAAGTGAGACAACATGTATCTTCCCCACATGGATGTTGGGAGTTGCATCATCTGGTAATTTGGGGAGCACAATTCCTAACACTTGGTAAATACTACTCTTGGAAGGGAAAAAAGCTCCCCCATTCCCTAGCCACATTCAGTTTTGGACACGCATCTTGCCATCCTATTATAACAAGGAAAACAAAGATTCTAATGACATCACATTCTTATTGTTAAGAAACCAAGAGGCAGAAAATGTCCAAACTCACAAGCATGCTTCATGTGAGGGAAAGACAGTGGTAAGAAGAGTTCTTAATCCTGCCTTCCAGGAAATGGCCACTTTTGGACATTTCTTTAGCTAGTTTCAGGGGATCTGTCCCTAGTGCTCAAAGTCAATGAGAGGGCGTTGAAGTGGGAGCTGCAGCCACCCCCAGCATCAGGACCTGAGCTGGCTCCCTCTGGTTTCAATGGATAAATGGCTAGGGAGTCAGGGGGGAGGCATCAAGGGACAGGCTCAGTTGATGGGGTCTGAGACACAACCAGTCCCAGGACCCTAGGAAAGGTGACTGTCAGGGGTTAGGGTGGCTGATGGGAACACTTGAGGGTGCCTGGGATGTACTGGGCCCTGGGCGCAGCCTACTTCTTCCATCCCAGGGCCCGTTGCCTCGGTGATTGGCGCTATGGAAACAAGCGGGGAGGGCCCTGGCGGCTCGGTTTCCGCCCTCGGCTACCGCTCCCCTACCTACCACCTTAATGCCCGCCAGGGTTCCGGAGAGGGACAAAGGGAGGTCTTAGGGATTCCAGAGTTGGGAGAGGGAGGCGGGAGATGAGGCCGGGAAGGAGCTGTGCGGCTGTCCAAGGTGCTGAACTCGAGAACCGCACTCAGGTGGGCGAGCAGAGTTCCTTCTGTCTCAAGGACTTGCCCTCCTCCTGCCTCATCCAGCTCACTCACAGACATTTTAAGAGTTGGGGGCGCGTGACCTTCATCCAAGCGAGGTCCTGCTGAAGTCTGATCTGCCAAAGTCTGATCTCTTTTTTCCTCTGGGACAGGGGCAGCTGGAGGCGTGAGGCCACTTGGTCCCACCTCCGTGTGGTCTCACATACCTCCATACACGCTGCCAGCACAACTCTGCCCTGGAGTAGGTGACTTCCCAAGGCCCCTCTTCCGTCTTGTGGCACAAAGAGCCTCTCCTGCCTCGAGTCACACCCCCTTACCCTTGCCCTCCACCCAGCGCCCCGCTCTCTTGGTTCTTGCCCCTCTTCTCTCAGGGGGTTCCGCATCCTGCTCCTTTGCCACGGCTCTAGTCCAGGAGTTCCTGCGCCCTCCATCCCATTCTCTCCCGATCTCACCACATCCAAGACGCCTACCCTACCCCAAGGACACTTGGCCCCAGCCCCCGCTCCACTCACGCGTGCCGTCAAAGCGGGTGGCGATGGTGTCCAGAAAGGTGTTTTGCGGGGCCAACAACCCCTTCATGACCGGCATGGCCTCGGGTGTGGGTTCGAGGCGTTGCGCGGGCTGCGTTCATTCAACTCGGCCGGGTTGGAGGGGGCGCGCTGCCGGCGGGGCCGGGGCGCCCCATGCGCCCGCCTGCCTGCTCCCCTCCCTCTAGCCGCCTCAGCCTCTCTGCTCTGAACCCCCGTAGCTCCGAGCTTCTCCGCGCCGCCGCAGGAACCGCCCCCCCACCTCCCCAAGGGTCAGGTTCTTCCCGGAGGGCTCGGCCCGCGCCCACCACGTGGCTCCGCACCGGGAGGGGCCGCCAGAGACACAGCACCTCTCCTCTGCCGCCCTCCTCCCGGAGGGGAGCGGCCCACGCGTGTCGCCTGGGGAGAGACTCGGAGACACGCCCACAGGGAAGTGAAGCTTGAAGGGGTGAGGCGGGGTTTGATGGTGGCCACACCCTTTCTCCTAGGGTGGCCACGCCCCTGCGCGTGGTTCCGTGGCTGCCTTGCTGGCTCCACCCCACGGGTTTCCCCCGAGCGGCCCACGCTGGGACTGGTGTCTGGTTGATAATGCCGCCTGCTGGAGTTGGGATACTTCTCTTTCTAAAAAATTATTGCACGTGTGGAGGTCAGCAGGCAACTTGGGGGAGTCAGTTCTCGTTTTCCATCAGGGGTCCCGAAGATTGAACTTAGGTTGTCAGGTTTGGCGGCAAGCACCTTTATAACCCCTGAGTCATCTCTCTGGCCCCTGGACCTGAGATATTTTGAGGTATCCCCAGCCGTCAGAGATCCAGCATGAGATTACAAGGATTTTGTTTTGTGGATGGAGAGTAGATGATGGTGAAGCTTGAATCTCTATTGCTAATGTTTGCCACTAATGCTTATCTTTTGCCTCAGTTTTCATAGGGAACGGTATGGAACTCTGTTTCTGAGCACAATGGGGCTGAGTGAAAGGGGCTTTGGAGTGTACCAGGTAGAACTGCGTGACAGCTTTTCCAAGCTTCATGCTCCTCGTCTGTAAAATGGGGCTAATAAGGGCTGGAGAGATGGCTCAGTGATTAAGAGCACTGGCTCTTAGCCAGGCGTGATGGCGCATGCCTTTAGTCGCAGCACTTGGGAGGCAGAGGCAGGTGGATCTCTGTGAATTCAAGGCCAGCCTGGTCCACATAGTTCCAGGACAGCTGAGGCTACTGGGAGACCCTGTCTCAAAGAGACCAAAAAAAAAAAGAGCACTGGCTCTTGTAAAGAACCTGGGTTCAGTTCCCAGCACCCACAATGGTGGCTAACAACCATCTATAACTCCAGTTCCAGGGGACCTGACACTCTTCTGGCCTCCACAGGCATTATATGCATGTACATAGTGCACTTAGATGCATGCAGGCAAAACACTCATACATATAAAATAAAAATAAAGCCGGGCATGGTGGCGCCTGCCTTTAATACCAGCGCTCAAGAGGCAGAGGCAGGCGGATCTCTGTGAGTTCAAGGCCAGCCTGGTCTACATAGTTCTAGGCCAGCTGGGGCTACAGGGAGACCCTGTCTCGAAAAGACCAAAATAAATAAATAAATAAAATAAAAAATTTAAAATATCTTTAAAAGAATTGTGCACGAATTATATCATTAAAATAAATAAATAAATCGGGGCTAATGATTCTTACCTGATGTGATTGTGAGAACTTAAAGGATTATGCCTGCTGTTGGCATGAAGGGAATGTTTTGAAGATGACTGCCTTCTACTTCTCCCTTGCCCTATGAAGAGGGACTGGAAGCAGGTTTGGGACTGGGAGAGATAGTTTGGGGATGGACAGGTGAAATTTGATCTCTAACTTCACTAAGATGGAACCAGTTTAACAAGGGGAGCCCAGGTGAAACCAGGCACACAATGTTCTCACCTCCCCGGAAGTGGTTGAGGCAGCTGGGCGCCATGGCTGAGTGCAGCCACTTGGGACAAAACATCTAAAGCTTGTGTGAGTGGAAACTGGTGGGCCTAGGTGGATGAGGGGCAGGCCAAATGACCCGCTTCGCCCCTGACTCCCAAAATCTAAGATGGGAATTGTCAGGGATGTTCTACTTCTAAAAGGAGCCACACTTTTGTTGTGTTTCTATTTTAGATTTTTGAGGCAGGGTCTCACATTGTGTCAAAGGCTTGACTCCAACTTGGGATCCTCCTGCCTTCACCTCTCAGGCACTGGGATCACCAGTGTGCACTGCCATGCGTGGCTTCTGTCTCTAATTTGGTTTGGGTTTTACTATTACTTTTAAAGACAGTCTTTTGTAACCCAGGTTGACCTTGAACTTCTATCTGTACTTCCCAAGTGGATTACAGGCTTATGCTAACATGTTTAGTTTTCTGTGGTGCTGGGGCTGGAATCCACAGGGCTTTGTGCATGCTAAGCACACTCTACCAAATGAGCTACATTGCTAGTCCTGTTTACTTATTTTGTGTCTCTACCTTAAAAATTACTTTAGAGGGCTGAAAAGATGACTCAGGAGTTAAGAGCACTGACTGCTCTTACAGAGGACCTGGGTTCGATTCTCAGTACCCACATGGTGGCTAAGCAGTATCCATAATTCCATTTCCAGGGGATCCTAAAATCTATTTCACATTTATTATGCCAGGTGTGGTGGCGCACACCTTTAATCCCAGCACTTGGGAGACAGAGGCAGGTGGATCTCTGTGAGTTCAAGGCCAGCCTGGTCTACATAGCAAGTTTAGGCCAGTTGGGGCTACAGGGAGACTCTGTCTCAAAAAGACCACCCCCCCCAAAAAAAAACAAACAAAAAACTATTTTACATTTATTGTGTGCATTGTATGTGTGTGATGGTGTCATGGCACATGTGTGGGGGTCAGATGACAACTTGTAGGAGTTGGTTCTCTTCTGCCACCATGTGGACTCCAAGGATCAAACTCAGGTTGTCATGCTTGGCAGCAAGTGTCTTTACCCACTTTGCCTTTATTTCTTTATTTTTATTTTTGTGTTTTTTGTTATTGCTGTTGTTCTTTTTTCTTTTTTTGAGACAGGGTCTCCCTGTAGCCCCAACTGGCCTGGCACTCACTATGTAAAACAGGCTGGCCTCAATCTCACAGAGATCCACCTGCTTCTGCCTCCGGAGTGCTGGGGGTACTAAAGGCATGTGCCACCACGCCTGACCATTTATTTATTTTTTCTTTTTTTGGTGTTTTTGAGACAGGTTCTCCCCATAGCCCCAGCTATCCTGGAACTCACTATGTGGACCAGGCTGACCTTGAACTCACAGAGATCCACCTGCCTCTGCCTCCCAAGTGCTGAGATTAAAGGCGTGTGCCACCAAGCCCAGCCGTTTCTCTATTTTTAAAGGCCATGTTGCTGTCTTAGGAATGTCATAGCAAAGTACCACAAAGAGAATGACTTAAATGGTTCTTGAAGGTCAGGTGAATTCAGGGCTGGTTCCCCTAAAGGCTGTGAGGTGTCTGTTCCCTGTCTCTCTGCATGGGTTCCTAGTGATCACAGGCATTTCTGGCTGGTGGGTGCCATACCCTGGTGTTTGCTTTCATGTCCACATGCATTTTCCCTGTGTGTATCTGCACCCTAATCCCATTTTATTTTATTTTTATTATTGTTAGTATTTTTTAAATATTTTATTATTTTTTTATGTGTATGCATGTATTGCCTGCATGTAGGTAAGTGCACCCATGTTGTGCCCACGGAGGATAGAAGAGGCTGTTAGAGCCCCTGAAACTGGAGTTACCGACAGTTGTTAGCTGCCATGTGGGTGCTGGGATTTGGTGTTCTTAAGTACTGAGCCATCTCTCCAGCCCCAGTATGTATGTATGTATTTATTTATTTATTTATTTATTTATTTATTTTTGTCTTTTTGCACCAGGGTCTCCCTGTAGCCCCCAGCTGTCCTGGAACTCACTATGTAGACCAGGCTGGCCTTGAACTCACAGAGATCCGCCTGCCTCTGCCTCCCAAGTGCTGGGATTAAAGGCATGCACCACCACACCCGGAATTCACTAAGTAGACCAGGCTGACCTAAGTCTCATAAAGACCACTGGCATCTGCCTCCAGAGTGCTGGGATTAAAGATGTGTACCACCACACCTTTAGGGTTCTCTAATCCCCTTTTAAATAAGAAAACTGCTCATAGTGGATTGGTGGTCTACCCTCACTTTAGCTGACTACACCCACAAGACCTGCTTTCCAAATCAAGTCACTTCCTGCATTCTGAGCAGGTGGTGGTGGTGGTGGTGGTGGTGTTAAGAGATCAACAAATGAATTTGTGAGGCTCACAATTCAGCCTCTCACAGGCATCTTTGGCTGGAGCTATAGAAAAATCTTGCTCTGTCTTGGCCTAAGAACTTCCTCAGACTTCCATTCTACAGAGTGAAGCCCAAAGCCTCGTCATATGCAAGGGTCTTCACTGTCCAGGCTGCATGAACTTACCCATTTCCTTTGTACTGTCTCCTTGCTCACACACCTTGTATCCCATACTGCAGCCATATGCCTTGCCTTTTCAGCAGACTTGCCTCCCTCCCTTCCCAGCTGGATTCTGTTCCCCTGTGCAGCCACCACACCCAGCTAAAGTTTAAAGTCATTCTGGGCTACAAAGGGAGTTCGAGGTCAACCTGGGTACCCAAAACCCTGTCATTCATAGATGATAGATATAGATAGTTGATAGATAGATAGATAGATAGATAGATAGATGATAGATTAGATAGATGATAGATTAGATAGATAGATGATAGATAGATAGATAGATAGATAGATAGAGTGAATAAGTGAATAGTAGAACAATTTGGGACTCGTCTGTCCCTCACCCCACCCTCCCAAGCATGCACCCCATGGCTTTGCAAGTGGTCCTTAGTTTCTTTGCATTGGATTCTCCACCCCACCAAGTGTTTATCACTAGAGAGATGCACAAGTCTTCACAGTTCGCAAGATGCTTTCCCGCCCCCTGGAGGACTGAACTTGACATACATGAACAAAGATTAGCCGCACGATCTCCTCTTTATTGAGTTTTTTCTAGGGACTGACATTAGCGAGCAGAGGGGATAAGTTGGGACCAGGACGGGGACTGAAATAGGGTTTAGACTCCGGACCGTCCCCCGGACGCTAAGGCTGTGGCGGTTGCGGTGGGACAACGGCGGCCAGGGCAGGGATGCAGCTCCGGCTCTGCGTCTGCACGGCGGCCCATGGTCAGGATGCCGGCCGCGTGGTTGCCATTGGCCTGCAGAAGGCGCTGCAGCCGGCCCTGGAGGCCTGGGGGTCCCGGCCGCCGCTTTCCCAGTGTGAGGATGCCGGCTGCGTGATTGCCCGCGCCGTGCAACAGTTCGTAGAGGCGACAGGAGCACGTCTTCTGGCGACAGCAGTCGGGCAGAGCCTGTGCGTCCACCCCCGGCGACAGCAGCGCAGACGGCAGCAGCAGGAGCAACAGCAGTGTCACGGTGGCCCAGGGAACCTAAAGGGGGAGAGACACAAAGTGGTGATGTGCTTCCCTCCACCCCCAGGTCCTGCCCAGATGGTTCTGAGCCTTCCCTTGCCTGTGCTTGTGTCTCGAGCCTCACTGCCTCTGGCTACTTTGTTGGCATCCTTCAACACCCAGCATAGCATCCCCTCTAGGAAGCCCTTGGAGACTGCTGGGGCAGAATAAGTCCCTCTCCCTTCTGGATATCTTTGTCCCTTGTAATCATATGAAAGGCTTACCACTGGAGACAAGTGTGCCTGAGTCTGCATCACACTTGTAAACTTGGAAGAAACAGAGGTTTTGTTCAGTGTGGTCCCTCCCTCCACACATACACATCCTTTCATTCCTTTGTTAAGGAAACAACACCATGACTTTAGGACAGTTTCCCACTCTCTTGGGACAGATCTTCCTCATCTGCACACTGGGTATTAAAATCCCTACTACACAGGGCTGCTAGGAAGATGTGGTAAGATGACAGGCCCCAAAGCACCTGAAATGCAGCTAAGTGCACAACAAACACCAGTCCTTAGAGAACAGAGCATACACAGTGTTAACCAAGGCAGACTTGCTGCCAAGAGTCCCCTTGTCCAGTCTCCCGCCTCAGTGCCCACATGGTAAAGATCAAGAGTGGACACATGGGTCCCTCCCCTGGACAAGCACTTTGGTGGCCTTCCTGGTATGATAAGGCTCACCTGGGTCCCCAGTTCTTTACCTTTGTAGAAGGAAGGTTCATGGTGTCTGGACCTCAGGGTGGGGTTACTTGGGAAGATGGCACCTGCGGTACAGGGATCCAAATAGCCAGGAACTGTGGCCTACTGCCAGGAGCCAGGGGTTTATAGTGTTCTGAGGTGGTGGAGGAAGACATGAGCACTTGCGTCCACTCCGAAACCAGACAAAGGAGAGTCTAAGATTAGTGTCCTACAGGGGGGCCGTCTCCAGGTTGGGCCAAAGGAATGGCTGTTGTGTCCTTGCCCCCACCCGCCCACTTGTCTGTCTGCTCCTTGGAGATGGGGCAGTCTCTGGGTGCTAATGAGGCCACCTTACACCCAGGAATCTGAGTGCACAAAAGAAGCCTTGGCTGGGGCACTGAAAGGAGATAATGGGGGAGGGGCAGTTGCTAATTAGGAGCAGGAGAAAAGGTAGTATGAAAACTACTGAACATGGCATGTCAGGGGCTGCCTCTGGGGTCTGTCAGGTTCCGGGGCCTTTTTCCTCCATGGAAACAGCTCCTGATCTGTCCTTTCCTCCCCCCAGCTCTCCTTTTCTTCTGTCCCTTTCACCAAACTCCTGGATGGAAGTCTTCGGGACCTACTGTAGGCAACAGATGAGAAAGCAGCCAAGCCTGGTTTCTAGAAGCTGGTGGAAAGCATCTTCCTCCACAGCTATCCCTCAAGTCAGGCAGCCGGGAGAGGAGAACTTTCTTGTCTCACTCTGCCATCTCCAGGACTGAGCCATCGTGGAATGGGTGAAGGACTCATCCCACTTCTAGGCCAAATTTCTCCCCTTCAGGGCCTTGTGACTGAGCTCCTGGTGTGGATCATCCCTATGTGGGCATGGGAACAACACTGTGCCTAGAATATGGCCCCAAATTCAAGGTGCATACAAGTCAAGGTTGGGTGGCATCTAGGTCTAAGGATAGTTGAGGGAGGGAGGGACTATTCGGAGAGCAGGAAAGGCCAGTCACTTCCTTCTGGGTAAGGCAGGACGGTCTGCAAAGGTTCTGCCTGAAAAGTAGATTTCTGTTAGGTAAGGGGAGAAAGTATGTCTCAGTATGTCTCCATGTGTGCAAAGGCCTGAAGGTGACAGTGTTTTGTGTAATAAGGGTGTGGTCCTTAGTTTCTCTGAAGCAAAAGGGGAGAGGCCAGCGTTTTTCTGGGCCTTAGTGTGCCAGGCTGGTTGGTCCTCTTGTGAGTGATAGGTAGCCACTGTGGGAGTTTTTTAAAGGATCTTTGTGCGACTGGCTGGGTAGGACTGAGGGGCCCACAGTGGGGACACAGGAAGGGCAGAGAAGCAATTCAGAGGCAGAACAATCTGGAAGATGGATCCAAACTTAGAAGGAGCTGCAGGCCTTGGCAGTACACACTTTCCCAGGTAGCTCTGAGGTCTTTTCCTGCTGTGGCTTGAAATATAGCTTCCCCTTTTTCCACCACAGAAGTGATTTATTTGTGGGTGCTGGGTCAGGATAGAGCCCAGTGCTAAGGCAGGGTGGGGAAGCTGGCCAACAGAACATCTTTAAGTTGTGTTGGGGATGGGAGGGCAGAGAGTACCTGTCTGCTGGGTTGTCTGAGTTGTGCTAGGCCATGGTAGGAGTCCCCAGAAGCCTTTCTGTGCTCCCCTCTTAGAACGAAACCAGCCAACATTCAGGGTAGGCAAAAGCCCTGGAGCTCAGGGCAGGGAGTGACTGTGTGGAGGAGGAGAGCCCCTGTTCTTGCAGAGGACCCAGCACCCACATGACAACTCAAAACCACCTGTAACTCCAGTTCCAGGGGATCTGACACCCTCTTCTGACCACATGTGGTGCACATACGTATCTCAGACACATGTACATAAATAAATCAATCTTTTTTTTTTAGAGTTTTATTTGGGAACTGATCCAGAAAACAGAATGATGGAACAGGCAAGGGGGAAGGGAGGAGAGTTGGTGGGAATAGTATCAGAGTAGGTTACTGCTGTGGGCCACAGCCTCATCCTGTTGAGGGCAGAAAAATCTAAGACCTGTCTCACATAGACAATGACTCTGACAAAGGCCACTCCTTTGTCCTTATGGACAAAGGCCACTCCTAGGGCACACCTACCCTACTTACAGCCCATGCCATACCCTGGTCAAGCACATGAGTAGGGCCAGGGAACAACATACCAGGCTGAGACACAGGAAACCATCAGAGTGCATGGAATTCCCTAGCATTGGGTTGAGGGGGACAGAGGTAGGGCACTGCTGGGCTATTATGTACTCCCAAAGCCTGAATCTCAAAACTGACGAGTGAATCCTAGGCCCTTCCTTAGACCCAGTGGCTCTGATGGACCAACATTAGGTGACATCTTGCCAGGGCTCTCCATCCAGAGATATCCTAGAGGAAGGAGTGAGGTAGCCCCACAGTAGCTGGCTAAGACACCACCCTTTTCTGCAGGAGCTGGGCCAGGTGCCTGTGCCTGAGGACTCGGGGCATCTCAGGGGGGAAAGAGGATGAAGGGCAGGCTGCCAGTGCTTCCCGGAGTGCTCTGAAGGCTCCTGACCCCACCAGGTGGACTCTGGCAGGACCCACACTACCCCAGAACCGCAGGGACTTGTAGTGAGGGGAAGCTTCCTGGAGGCAGTGGTCAAGCTGGGGACAGACAGTGGGGTGAGGCAAGCATGTGGTACCATATGTATGAGATGTGCATACCATGCATACCTAGGGCTACATGCACTGAGGACTTTTGTGTGCAAGTGTGTGTTGTGAGACCCATACCTCCCTTCCCAGAGTCCCAGAAGGGAGCTTCTCCTCCCTGGTACCCCTTCTATTCACTGCCCTGACTCCATAGCAACTGGGGGCTTGTAGAACAAAAGAGATACGTAGTCAGACTTTGGTTTCATCTTTTACCTTGTCCCGATTTTCCTCTGACAGATTCCTCAGTCCCCTCAGCTCCACGAACACTTCATAGTGCGGGGCAGAGCCATCACAGGTGTCTGTGGACAAATCCCACCCGCAAACACACTTCCTGAGGACAGAGCTCTGCCCATTCTGAAGTTCATGGAGAAAGAAGAGTTTCTTGGTGGTAAGTGGGGCAAATGGAGGGGAACCTAGAGCCGAGTGTTAACTGCGAGATGGGTCAGGAAGAAAGTGGGAGGGGGCTGTAGGAGAAGAGATGGGAGTTAGCTATAGAGAGGGACTGTGGTTAGAAACAGTGAAAAAGGCCACCTTTTATCTCCTTCCTAGAAGTCTCCTGGCAGAGTGGGCATGGGTTGGGGGATAGCCAACTCAAAAACTGGAGTAGGAGCTGGTAGAGACACTTACCCAGAATGCTGCTTTCCATACAGCCATGGTCCAACAGCTTGGCCCCTGGCCACTGCTCCACTGCCTGGGCCAAGGCCTCAGAGAACACATTCTCACTGGTAACTTCTCCTCGAACACTCAGGGCCTGGCCTAATCTGAAGGCGGGATGAGGAGGGAGTGGAGCCCAAGGCACAGGGACAGCCCCTCAGCATCCCTGGGGTCACCTACCTGTAGGTGAACCTGACAACAGGGCACTGATTATAGGCACCAACCACTTGTACTACATCTCCCAGGCGGCACCTGATGGGTGGGGTTTGGAGAAAAGGTGAGCTTGTGGCCCTGGCTCTCAGGAGGGCATCAGAGGTGACAGGGGCCCACTAGGGGATCACCTGGTCCGGTTGGCATCGTCAGTCAGCACCAGCTCATACTCCTCACCCCTTTGAGCATCAGCAAGAAGGAGGGTAGAGGCTGCCTCCTCTTGGATTCCTTCCTTCACTGGGAGCAGCTCAATAAAGGGGACTCTGGGGGGCAGAAGGTAGAGTCCCCGGGGTTGCTCTGGCCACAGGTTTAGGGCCATGACCCCTGTGGAGAGCAAAGAGCCTTCTTGTTGGTAAGTGGGGCAACAAGGTTGTTGTCAACCTGGTAATGCACTTCTTTCTCCCAGGTAACAGCAGAAAGCAGTGGCCTCATTCTGTTCCTCAAGCCCAGCTCCTCTGAGTATCTGAACCTCCTGCTGTATCTTTCTTGGACAACCCTGGATTCAGCCTGTGCCTTCCTAGTCTTGACTGGGAAGAGGCAGGCAGCATGCTGTGGTTCCACAGGTATCAGAGCTGGAAATAAATCCTGATACCAGGTGAGTCTGTGTGAGAGACTCACCTGTTAGTCAGAGCTGGTTAACCCCCACCATCCAGGGCATTGAGGAGGATTCAAGGTGTGTGGGGCTCAGTGCATAGCAACTAGTGTGAGCTCTGCTCCCCACCCCACCTCACTGCCCCTGCATCCATCTGACCTCCAGAGGCAGCGTAAGCAGGAGAGAAGAAGGCTAGGCCCCGGCACCACAAGGCTCTAAGGGCAGCCACAGCCTCCTCCTGGCCTCCTGCATCCAGAGTCACCACGACTTTCAGCTTTGGCCAGAGACGAAGGGCCAGTCCTTGCCGTCCTTGTTCTAGGGCTTCTTGTAGCTCAGCCGCCTGTCTGGAGAGAGGCGCTCCCGGGTTCACAGCTGCTATGGCCTCAGCCAGTTCTTTGCCATCAGCCTCTAGGCCCACAAACACATCCAGGAGCTCTGCTGCGGTCCCTGCCTCCAGTACCCTCAGCCCTGGGGACATCAGTGCCTCCAACAGCAGGGTCTGAGGGTCCTTGGCTCCATGGGGGCTCACCCGGCCAAGGGCATAACCGAGCCAGGGGAAAAAGTGGGGCCATGGGGATGTAGGGGTCACACAGGCGGTACTTCCTGGAGCTAGCACTTCTGGGTAGGACTTTCTCAGGGCTAGGAGACCCAGCAGGGTGGCCTGAAGAGAGATAAGAGGCGTTGTCAGACTCTAGAGCCAGACCCTGACACTGCTGTGGGCCTCTTCTGTTCATTCTGGGGGGGAGGGGGGAGCAGTTGCTGCAAGGGTTGTGCCTCTATTTACCTGCAGAGAGGCCTCTCCATGGTACTGGGGTGAGGCAGGGGTCAGGAGTTGCCCCTCACTTTCTTTCTCCTGGACTTGGCTGGCTTTGGTCAGTGGGAGATGATTCCAGAAGGTACTCATGTCTGTCACCCCAAGGACACCAGAAACTCCTATTGAGACTTGAGGAATGAACCCAGAACAGGCCTGGGGGGTGAGGGCTGTAACAGGGCCCAGCAGGGAAAATTGCATCCTGAACTGGCTAGTCAGTTCCAGGCCTGAGTGGGGCTCTGGGCCAGGTTACAATGCATTGATGGCAGGTGGGGGTACTCGGGTTCTAGAATCTATCTTGTGGGGTTTCTTTCTTTTGGGGTCACCTCCTTCAGGTGTTGGAAACACACCTGTGTTCCCCTTGCGGGTTTGGCAGGAACCCTGGTCTCCTTTTAGACACCACTTGAGGGTCTGCTGCTGGCTCTGACTCATGTGCAGTGTGCTCTGTTCCAGTCTTCGCTGCTGCCAGGTGGCCGCCCAGCCCAGGACTCTCCAGGCCAGCCAGTGCTGGAGGCTGATCAGCCAGGAGAGTCTGGAATTCTGAAACCTTTGCTGACAGAACATGGCCAGTGGGGGCAGCAGCAGCAGCAACAGCAGCCACAGCAACAGCATCTCCAAGCAGCTCCTGGGAAGAGAAAGCAGTGTGTGGGGCCTATGGAAAGAACCACGTCTTTCCCTACACTCCACTGCACACAGAAAACTGAGGAAGAGTACAGTTGATAGAAAGCCACGGCCATGCTGGGTAGGTGATACGGAAGAGAGGCCCTCAAGACTTTGGCATCCTACTGAGTGGAGCTCAGACACTAGGCAACCCAGCTAGCCACTCAGCTCACTTCCTTATCAATGTAGCTGGAAGCCCCCCCCCCGCCCCCGCAAGGCGCAGCATAGAGCGGGCACAGGAAGACTGCTCAACAAATGACATCTTTTACCAGGCATGGTGGTGCACTCTTTTAATACTAGCACTTGAGAGGCTAGCCTGGTCTACATAGTCGGTTCCAGGATATCTAGGGCTACATAGTAAGACCCTGTCTCAAAAAAGCCAACAAAACAAAACCCACAAAACAAAATTTAACTTTTACCCACACCCAAGTGATTTGGCTTTCTCTCAGGATCTCCCCTGTCCCAGTTCCCTGACCCTCTGAAGCCCTGGGCAGTGGATATATGACTATGCACCTGTCACAGCCCGGTATGTCTACTACCAGCACCTGGGGACCCACAGTGCCCCTCCGGGCCCCTCAGTGCCTCCGGTCTCCGTACACGTCCAGCCAGAAAGTTGGAGTGATAGCTTTAAAAGGCAGGGCCTTGACGGGAAATCCGGCCTGACTGGGCAGACCTGGGGGGTGCTCTTAAAGGGACAGGTCACTGAAAGGATGATTTGCGTGCTAGCTGAGGCTGGCAGATGAGGAAGTTAGGACCAGGATAGCATAATCCTCAAAGTTGTATGAATGAAAGAGAGCGAGAAGTGTGCAAACAGCACTGCGAAGCAATTTACAAGGATCCAGGCACACCATCCTGGAGCAGACTCTGGCTTGAGAACTGCTAAAAAAACACAGTTGTGAGGGGTGTGGGTGTCCATGCCGGAGGCTGGAGGATCAGGATTTCAAGGTCATCCTTGGCTGTATAGCAAGTTTGAGGCCAGCCTGAGTTACATGTGACCTTGTCTGAAAATTAAAAAGTCCTGCAGGGTGCAGGTGCACACACCTGTAACCCTAGCATTTGGGAGGCTGGGGAAGGAGGAATGGTTCAAATTTGAGGCCAGTACGTCCTATATAGCCAGACCTGGTCTTAAAGAACAAATAACAGTCAGGCTGGGGGCTCACGCTTTTGATTTCAGCACTTGGCAGGCAGATCTCTGTGAGATTGAAGCCAGCCTGTTTTACATAGTGAGTTCCAGGTCAGCTTGGGATACAGGAGACTGTCTCAAAAAAACAAAACAAACAAAACAAAAAAATCAACATATGTTCTCCCTCATATGTGGATCCTAGAACCAAACCCTGATAAGTGAGTATGTATCCAGACATAACTACAGGAACCAGGATAATGGAAA